AGTCCTGAAAGCGCTGAAAGACAAATTAGCAGTATTCGAATTGGAACAAAGTATTGGCCGAGAAGTCAACAAGGTGGATTGTTTAGAAGAAGAATTGCTTACAAGGGAGCTGGACGATGAAGTAATGCGGATCATCAAGCTTGGATACGCTCAAGCACAAGACCCTCTGATTAAAATAAATATTGGCAATGAAGGAGAAGATCGTCCAACATTCATTAGCCAGATGCTCGATCAAGAGGTTAGTGATAAATTAGTCGCTTTGTTAAAGGAGTATGAAAATTATTTTGTTTGGGAATATGAACAAATGCCTGATTTAGATAGAGACTTAGTGAAACATAGATTACCAACTAAGCCTAATTTTAAACCTCATAGGCAACCTCCCAGACGTTTTGCTCCTAATATACTCCCTGAGATTAAGAAAGAGATAGAGCGATTATTAAAAGCAGGCTTTATTAGAACAGCCAGGTATGTCGAATGGTTGTCCATTATCGTGCCAGTACTAAAAAAGAATGGTAAACTAAGGGTGTGCATAGATTTTAGGAATTTAAACATAGCCACGCCCAAAGATGAGTATCCAACGCCCACAGTAGATTCTTTAATAGACTCAACTGCCGGACACGTCATGTATTCTTTCATGGATGGGTATTCAGGATACAATCAAATTTATATAACTAAGGAAGACATACACAAAACTGCCTTTAGATGCCCAGGGTCTCTAGGATGTTTCGAATGGGTAGTCATGCCTTTCGGCCTGAAAAATGTAGGAGCAACTTATTAAAGGGCAATGAATTTAATTTTTCATGATATGATAGGCAAGTTTGTTGAAGTGTATGTAGATGATATAGTGGTCAAATCCATTAAAGAAGAGGACCATTTCGAACAGTTAAGATGTTCATTTGAGCGAATGAAGCAATATAAGTTAAAGTTTAATCCCTTGAAATGTGCATTTGGTGTTAATGCAGGAAATTTTCTTGATTTCTTGGTACACAAAAGAGGGATTGAACTTGATAAAAATAAAGCGAAGGTCATTCTAGAGGCCAAACCACCTAACAACAAAAAAGAATTGCAAAGATTTCTAGGCCAAGTAAACTTTTTAAAATGCTTTATTTCTAATTGTACAGGGCGAACTAAAGTCTTTTTGCCACTTTTAAAGCTGAAAAATCAAGACGAATTCGTCTGAAAAGAAGAACATCAAAAGACTTTTGAAAGCCTGAAAACATATTTATCAAATCCACTAGTGTTGTTGTCACCAATCCAAGGACCGCCAATAAAAGTGTATGTATCGGCTGAAAAAGAATCAATGGCTGGAATGGTCGCGCAAGAAGATCAATTTGGTGAAGAGAGAGCGATTTACCACTTGAGTAGATGGTTAACAAAATGTGAATGTAATTACTCTACTATCGAAAAATTATGTCTTGCATTGTATTTCACATGTACAAAATTAAGGGCTTATTTATGGCCCGTAATCGTTTATTTGATTTATAGAGTAAATTTAATTAAGTATATGTTCTCTCGCCCTATTTTACACCAAAGGGTAGGCCTTTGGACATTAGCTTTATCAGAATTCGAAATACAATACATACCCCAAAAGGCAGTAAAAAATCAGGCTTTGGGCTAACTTTCTAGCCGATCATCCATGCCTTAACATGCCTGAAAAAATTGAATTAGAAATCAATTCATTCGAACTAAAACCTTGGGTGTTGTATTTCGATGGGTCAAAAAACCTCTAAAGGTACAGGAGTAGGAGTAGCATTAATAAATCATTTAGAGATTTGCTACAAATTCGCATTCACTTTGAATAGGATGTGCACCAACAATCAGGCCGAATATGAAGCCTTAATCGTGGGCCTGGAACCAATGAAATAGCATATTTGGGGGTTATAAGGGTTTGCAAACGTCGCACCTTTTCAGGATATGGAAGAAAACAATGATTGAAATTCTTGGAAATTTCAAATGTTGTGGGGAAACATAAAGTGAATATGACAAAAAATTAATAATTGGTATTAATTCAGCCATATTGGGGGGTAATTGTTGACACACAAAAAAGTTCAGCCTAACTCGAATAGCCCAAGGAATGAAGCCCAATTGGAAGATCCCCAAAATCAAATAACCCAGAAGAACGACCCAATCAGGCGATGCAAGATAAATGCCCAAATAGGGATGCCCATGAATGCGGTAATACCATCACCCAAGGTTGCAAGTCGCCTAAGGTTTGAGCGAATGAATTGCCATGTAGTCGCCCAGAGCTGTGACCCCGCTCTCGTCCAAACATTCAAGTCGCCCAGCATCTTGACAAACATAAGATGTTATGGTTACCCAAAAAGTGCAGTTAATAAAGCAGTTATTGAGTAGTCCTATCACGTTCCACGATTCAAGGAATTCAATTGAAAACGGTTGAACGACAAAAGTAATGACAGCAGGCAGTTTCATGACAAGTTGGCCACTACAAGGAAAGTGGGCAGTTATAGAACGATGAAGCAGTTTTTAAGCGGTTGATCACGAAGAAATCATCCAGGGAATATAAAAGGAAGAAAAGACATAGAGTAGAGGACCCCGAATCAAACACTCTCAAACAGATAATATGTAACTTTCAATTTCTTAGTTTAGATTTAAACATTTCTTTTACAGTAACTCGTGTGCGTGCGCCCCTTGGAGGCATTCTGTTTTTATTTTCCAATTGTAAAGTCATCGCCAATAAAAACGTCACTTTTTGGGACTTTGTCTTGAGAGGTTTGTCCCTTACACAATCGTCTGATCCCTTTTTAATTGTTAGCTACTAACCCGCGCGAAACACTTGGTTATTGAGTTTTCCCTAGTTGGGGTAGCAGAGGTGAAGAATATTTTCAATTGAAATTCTTGATGGAGAAGTTGGTTTGTGGTTTTTATTTAAAGAGTTCAAGTTTGTTCATTGTAGTGGAATTTATCTCCAGATGGAGAACTTTTTTAAGTTTTTGTCATTGTAATCATGTCTATGTGGAAATTGTTCTAATTTAGATGTGACTCGAATTATTTGTTGGAGATAAAATCCATTTTAATTAAAGTGCACATTAAAAGGAATTCTATTTAGAATGCCTTTGGAATCATATTTGAAAAATTCTAGTTAAAGTCCTATTTGGAAACCATATTGAGAGTTGGAATTTATATTGGGCTTAAAGAGATCAATATAAAAAAACTTTTGGACATTCTATGTCATCTACAACTCCATTTCTAGGGTTTGAATTATTTTATATGTATATATATATTTGGATATTTTCTACAATTTAGTTAGGTTGTTTAACCTCGTTATAGGTTAGATAAATTGTAAACACAAATCTGTGTATTATTTTTTCATATTATAATAAAATCTCCATTCTCTACAAATTATTTTAATAATGTGGCTTAATCTTTTATTTTCTCCAACAATTTGGGATTGGTTTAATCCGATATATTTTTCGCTTTCCGCAACAAACTGGTATAATATTTCTCCCACTTTTAACAAAGTGGTTTCACATTTGATCCGATTATAACAAGAAGTTTTTAATTATTTTACAAAGTTGAAGGCTGAAATCAGCAAAGCCAAACCAAACACTTGTTACTTTTTTGAACTATTCCCTCGAGAAGTTTTTTTACGGTAGTAAACGGGTAGAGAGTTAATTATATGATGGTTACTGAACTTTGTTTGCCACATGTTATTACTTAATAACTAAATTAAGAGGGTGTTAGATGGGGATTAAAATTAAATTTTTTAGTAGATTGTGATTTTTTTTTTAAATGCGTGGTTGAAAAATTGTGAGAGCCATGAAAGATGTGGTTAATATTAATTGTTTGACTTTAACTTAGATTAAAATCAGATTTTAATCCAAATCAAATAGTTTAAAATGTATCTCAATGGTCGATAAACTTTGTCAAGTATTACTACATCATAACCGAACTCAAAAATGTATCTAAATGATCATTGAACTATATACCATGTTACCTATCGATCACTCAATTTAGTGATTATTGAGATATATTTTTAAGTTCGACTATTAAGTAGTAACAATTTTTTTCCCCTCAAATCGACCTCAATAAAAGAAGAAACTAAAAAAAATGAAGAGAAAAAAGTTCTACTTCTATTCATTATACAGTCTCCATTACAATGAAAAGTACGTTTGGTTTTTAGATCAATGGGTATCAATTTACCATATCTCGAACTTTGCATAAAAAAGATTAAAAGAGAAACATTAGGGACACCAAAAGAAAAATGGCGTAGAAAAATGAAAAAAAATTCAAAAAATGTTGAATTAGTGCCAATGTAGTTGAGATCGATTTTGATTTTTCAACTTTTTCCCTTCATTTTCTTTAGTTTTTTCTTTCATAGAGATCGATTTAATGAAAAAAAATTGTTACTACTCAATAACCGAATTAAAAAAATGTATCTCAATGATCACTAAGCTTTGCTGAGCCCCTGTTTGGCTCCCATAAAATTCCATTAAATTACATTCCATTTTTCTCTCTTTTATTTTCATCCACACAATATTTCATAAAATAATATTACGCGTAAATCAAAAATTTTTCCTTCTTTTTCCACCATTCATTTTTTAAAAAAATATTATTCCACCCATTTTCATTTCTAGAAAATGGGGGCCAAACGGGGGCTAAGTGTTACCATTTTATAATTGAATCAAAAAATATATCTCAATGGTCATTGAACTATACATTGTGTTATCTATCTATCACTCAAGTCGATGTCATTTGTTGAACACGATGCATAGTTAAATAACTATTGATATATATTTTTGAATTAAGTTATCAAGTAGTAATATTTAGCCCCTGTTTGTTTTCTACTATTTGCCAATTAAAATGAAAAATACGATTATTATTTATTATATCAAGTCACCATATTTAATTTTATATTTTTTGTGTGAGGTCCGTAACAATTTTATTTTTTCATTTTGAACGAGGACTTCAATTGTTAAGTTGTATGACCAAGTATCCATTCGTATAATAAACCCGCGGGTAGATCAGTCAAATCGCTTAAAGCGGGAAAATCTCAAAACCGTACTCGTTTAACACAGAATATTACACTAGCGGGCAACAGGGAGAGAGCATTTTCTGATGGCGGGAGGGCGGCCGATAAGGGCGCTGAACGTGGCGGAGAAGCCGTCGGTGGCAAAGGCGGTGTCGGGAATACTCTCAAAGAGCCCATCGAGCGGGGGGCTTAGAGTTCGAGACGGGCGGTCGAGATACAACAAGATTTTTGAGTTTAATTACACCATTCAAAACCAGCACTTTCACATGTCTTTTACTTCCGTCACTGGCCATCTCATGGAGCTCGAATTCGAGGAACGCTATCGCAAGTGGCATTCCTGCGACCCTGTTCAACTATACCAAGCCGCCGTCAAGAAATATGTTCCCGAGGTACAAGCTTTTAATGCTTTTGGAGTACAATTAAGTGACGGACTAATGCTAGTTAGTACATCTCGCTGCAAAATATGTACACTTCTATATGGACGGGTTGATTACTGCTATTGCGCAATTCATTTTTCGAAGATTGGGGGTGGGTTGGTGGATGTTATTATGACAAAAGCAGCAGAAATGTCTTTTAATTCGGTATGGTGGTTGATAATTGAAATGATTTTGTTTAGCTTTCACAACATTTGAACTTTTCAGTATGAGAAAAGCATTTTGGGTTTTTAAACAAATATTGACTTTTGCAGTTTCAAGCAAAGAGCTTTTACAACATGTTGATATACATCAGCAGAAATGCATGAGCTACACTAGTTTTGTTAGCGCTATACATAATCTGAACTGTATTATATGTCCACAATTTTTACTTTCGCCCTTGAGTACCACTGAATAAAGAAAGCTTTTGTTTCTTATTTCTTGGTATGAATTTAGGATAAGTTAGATATCAAGAGGACGCTGGAGGAAGAAGCTAGAAAGTGTCAGTGGCTTATCCTGTGGCTTGATTGCGATAGAGAAGGAGAAAATATAGCATTTGAGGTCGTTGAAGTTTGCACACAAGCAAATCGAAATCTTAACATCTGGAGAGCTCGTTTCTCAGCATTAATTGACAGGTTCTGCTTGGCTGTTGCATATCCTTATTTATTTATTTTCTCCATCTTATTTTATAATCAAAACTTGGTATGTGCAGAGAAATTCATTACTCAATGCAACACCTTGTTCGACCTAATCAACTGTTTGCCGATGCAGTAGATGTTCGACAAGTGAGTTAGAGCAAATTCACTTGCTTTGACAGATTTATTGTTTACTGATGTCTCTGGAACACATTCTCTTATCACTTATTCAGTTCCTTTTATTTTCTCTTCTTTATAGTGCTTCATTTTTCTTTTGATTGTCACCATGACATACTCGACATACAGCCTGCCATATACAAATTGTGCTCCAATGGTGTAGGTTTTAAAACTTTAATGCATCATCATGGATTCTTGTATGCCAATGGACTCTTCATTGAAATTATTTTGCTGCAATGCCAAATTGGAAGAAGTAAGCCAATTTGAAATGTTTTGCAGGAAATAGATCTTCGTATAGGTGCTTCTTTCACTAGGTTTCAGACTATGCTTTTGAGAGATGCATTTAACCTTGATTTCAATACGGATGACAAAAATATCATCTTAAGCTATGGTCCTTGCCAGGTAAACAATTTGTCATTGTATCATCTTTAAACTCTTGTTTCCTGCATATCTTCACAAATTTGCATTTTTTCACGTTATCATCATTTTCCACAGTTCCCCACACTGGGCTTTGTTGTGGAGAGATTCTGGGAAATACAATCACACGAACCTGAAGAGTTCTGGACAATTAACTGTACTCACAATTCGGAGGAAGGCATTGCTACATTTAGTTGGACGTAATTATTGTCTGTGTTGCCATCTTATAGTAGTATTTTCCTCAATCAAATTCAGAAAAACTGATGACATCTATTAATTTTGTGACTTAGCAGGCGCGGTCATTTGTTTGATTACACATGTGCGGCAATAATATATGAAATGTGTGTCCAAGAACCCACTGCAACTGTGAGTCTCAATGAAGACTAGCTAATTTCAGAAAATCCAGCTCTTAGTCATCAGCAGAATTCACAATTTCATTTCTTCCAGGTAACCAGAGTTAGACAACAGGAGAAGCTGAAATATCCTCCTCATCCTCTAAGTACAATTGAGCTTGAGAAACGCGCATCACGCTACTTTCGTATGAGTTCTGAACACACCATGAAGGTCAGCTTCTATAAGTGAATTGTTGGGAATATGAGAAAATGAACTGTCTTTTTTCATTAGAATTACAAGCTATCACTACTAAAACTTATCCTAAATTTACAAAAAAATAAAATTTGAATTGCTGTGCATAAGGAAATGGATAAATTTGATTGCAGTAATTAAGGATCTCCTTTCATTTATTCCAAATTTCTTCATATCTTTGATTTGTTCAATACTATGATTTGTTATGTAATCATATATTTGGCCATATTTGTCAACAATCTTCAACACTCTCCTCAAGCTAGTTCAAAGATATCCATCATTCCAACTTGCTAATGTGGGAGAGAATAAAGGTCTTGGTAGTCCTTGAGAAAGTGTCTGTCCACTTCAACATGTTTAGTTCAATGATGTTGAAATGGATTATGAGCACTTTTGATGTCTACTGTTGTCAGAAAAAAGCTTCATTCCATCCCGTTGAGTGACTTGTAACTCCATGAGAAAAGTCATGAACCGCATGAACTCACAAATCTTTGAACTCAACTTCAGCACTAGATTGCTTGCCGATTTTTTCTTACTCTTCCAAGTAACTAAATTTCCGCTAGCAAACATACAATATCCAGAACTTGATCTTGTGTCATTTATTAACCAGTTCAATTTATATGTCTATACTTGAAGATGGTAATTCCTTGAAGAAAAAAAAACTTTTCCAGGAGAATTTTTCTAGTATCTCGCTATCTGTAGGACTGCTTCCACGTGAGCTGCACAAGAAGAGTGCATAAACTGATTTAGCACATTTACACTAAATACAATGTCTGGTCTTATGTGAGGCAGATACAACCTCTTACCAAACTCTGATAACGACCTTAGTCACCTGTATCACTTTCAACTGTTGCTCCCAACTTATTTTTAAGATCAATGAAAACATCGGCTAGCTTACAACCTAACATCCGTATCACTTTCAACAATTGACAGGATATATATATGTGTGTGTGTGTGTGTGCGCTCGTGTGTGTGTGTATGTACGTGTATGTACGTATGTATGTACGTGTATGTATGTACGTGTATGTATGTATGTATGTATGTATGTATGTATGTTTTTAATTGTTTATCCAGCAGGTGCACTCTGAATTTATTTCAAATTAGAGTTGTTGATGTCAATGTATAAATTATAATAGACAGGATATCTAGCCAGTCCAGGGATGATGTATGGTACAACTGTACAAGATGATTAATTCTAGATATATTTTTTTCCCAATAGGTGGCAGAAGATTTATATCAAGCTGGTTTTATTAGCTATCCGCGCACTGAGACTGACAGCTTTTCAGAGAGAACAAATTTGCACGTAAGTAACTATTATTTTCTTAGTCATATAGAATAATTGTTTTCGATAGTAGAGCACTTGTTAATGCGCGGGAACTGGAACAATCATTATAAGAAACAGTAGCTTCATGGTGTTGATACTTATTATTGATTGAATATCAGTGGCATGGATGCTGTGATAATTAGAAGGTTTGAGAGTAACAAAAGGAGTGAAATATAATTTTGTATGAGGAAAGAAATTAATGTAAAACTTCTGATGGTTAGGATGCCATAACAAGTCAGAAGTCATTGATTCCAAATAAATAGGAGGATCTTTTTTCTTTTGTCAATAGCCCTGCTCCATTATATCTGTTCTTAGATATAGTTCTCTACACAAGCTCTATCAAATGATGATCAAAATTTATTTCATGATGCTAGTCAGCTCATTAAATATTTCACTTTTTATAATGCTTTTACAACCTCTTATACAAGAAGCTTCCTTCACCATCTTCTTCTTATTTGGAGTATAGATGATGGTACAAGAGCAGCAAGGGCACCCTGTATGGGGCTCATATGCCCAAAGGTTGCTGGATCCTGAAGCACGACTTTGGAGAAATCCTAGTGGTGGTGGGCATGATGACAAAGCCCACCCTCCTATTCACCCTACAAAGTTTTCGGCTGGAGAAGCTGGATGGAGTCAAGATCACCATGTTAGTACCCGCTTTCGCACGATTTGTTAGTTAGGGTGAAATATGCAGATGAAACTCATGTAATTTTGATCTTTGTATGAGTGAAACCATATCTGAATGTCTAGTGAATTTATTCAATAACAGAAATTATATGAACTGGTGGTTCGCCATTTCCTGGCCTGTGTTTCACAACCAGCAGTAGGGGCTGAGACTACAGTTGACATTGACATTGCAGGAGAACTGTTTTCTGCATCTGGGAGAATGATAATTGCAGTGAGTTTATGTTCCACTCTGTTTGTTTCTTTGGAATGTTTTTAAGGTTGCTGCCTATTCTGTCAGACAGTTTAGTATTTGCATTTTTCCATGCATTTAGTATTTGCATTTTTCCATGCATTTGTCTTGTTCTAAATTCTTGAAAGATAAGAGTTAAATGTGCTTTGAAGTTCAATCA